TCGTGGACAAATAAAGATTATTTTGGGTATCAGACTAACCTTTATCGATTATTCCCCTCTTTTAACAAATCGACTAATTTATCTGACTATATCTATGGACTTGGTTTTGTTATACAATAAACATATATCACACGGACAATGCTTATTTGATAAAAATATCTCACATGAACATTGCGCATTGACTTGGTTTTGTTTTATAGAATAAGTGCGTATTTGATTTTGGTAGCTACTTTAATTCTTAGTCTTCCAAGTTTCACAAACTAATATAACTAATGTGGTTAATGTGGGTTACAAAGTATTTGAAGAAATAAATATAAGTAATGTGGTTAATGTGGGTTTTGTGGGTAAACTGTTGTGGGTAGTGGTTAACCACTAACCACAAAAATCAATATTTTGCTACCCAAACTCAACCCACTATCCACAAATTATGAGTATGGGTATCAACAAAGTGTGCGATTTGCGAGTTACCCGCAACCCGCAAACCAAACTTCCACCCCTAATAGTCACCATCTTGAATGTGACTACCATAGGACAAATTACTTAAAGTGTCCCTATTGTCCATAAATACTACGCGTGATAATTAATAAATATATTTTGGAGTAAACAAATGTCCCACAACTTAGTTCATAAGAAATTATGGACTAAGTTGTTGACACCAGCCATAATCAATTCCAATGGCATCCAATAAGAATGAAATTCGTTCATGGCCAAGTTAGTAATTGGCCACAACGAGGATTTGTCTCCTTTTTTTCTTTTTATTTCCGCCAGCCCCACTACTTTCCTTGTAAAGTTGTACCATTGGAATTTGGAACCTGCATGCCAATAATCATACGTTGGGTTTGTATAGGCCTTCTTATTTTCCTGACCATGACCAAATTTAATTGGCCATCAAACCCCTAGTCATCCACCACCAAACCACTGCGTTATAAACCCTCTCTTCCATTTGATTATTTTATGCATGGCCGCCTTGCTCATGTTCAGACTTTCATACACCTTCCCTTTAATTATATGTGCCATTTAGAACTTGAGAACTGCCATGGCCATGCTACAGGAGGTATGTGCCACTACCCATGTTCTCTTCTTTGGCTTTGCTACAGGAGGTATGTGCCACTGCCATGACGCGCTCCATGAAAGCCTATCCCAAATTCAATCAATCGTTTATAGTCTACTTCTCCTATAATGGCATACTACACCCCCAATAGACCATATACACCACCCTTGTCATTTGCTTCTTTTTGTTTACACGAGCAATACATAACATGACTTTGCCCAGACCAATCATCATCCATCACTATCATGGATGATATCTTTTTATTTGGACAATATTATCCATGTAACCACTTAACCAAACCATAGTTACAAATTGCTTAAGGCCAACCATCCTTGGCCTCTAGTAACATGGATGGTACAATCTATCCAAAAGTTGGCAAGGTAACCATGTCTTGACCCAAAAATCCAGCTATTGACCCAGATGCTTACTCGAAGAGATGGTAGCCCTCATAGGGTTGAATGGTACCATCCAAATTATCGATCTGGACGGCAGCCATTCTGCTTCCAAGCTAGAAACAAAATCCTCTGAATGGCCAGTTCAGAAAGACTTATCCTGAGCATTTCACTCCTCGACCATGTTGCACATCTTAGAAACCATGTCAACTCCAACTAGGTCTCTATGTGCACTAGGACAGAATCTAAATCATTGACATTCCTTAACGTCCCAAATGTATTGGCTTAAGGTACTTGCCATTAATTAAGCGCTCATGTTGTACACCATCTAAATCTTTCAATAGGTAAACACCATTGGGACGTACAACACGAACAATAAAGGGACCACGCCAATTAGGAGACCACTTACCAAACTTTGGATCTTTTTCATCAATTGGCAAGTGCAACTTCCACACTAGCTCTCCTTCCTCGAATGACTTATACTTTACCTTCTCATTGTATGCCTGAGCCGCGCTAGCCTTTTGTACCTGGAAGTTGTCAAGAGCTTGAAGTTGTAGCTCATCCAGGTCATACAACTCCTACATCATTGACTCATAATACTCAAAAGGAGTCCATTCATGTTGCTTCATGTATCGTAGAGACTTTATCGTTATCTCAATCGGCAAGAAGGCCTCATGACCATATGTCAAAGAGAAAGGAGTCACTCTCGTACTACTACGTGGTGACATTCTATAGGCACATAGCGCCTCTGATAGAACTTCATGCCAGTTCCTTGGATTGCGCTGAATCATTTTGGACAAGATCCCTTTTACCACCTTATTGGATGCTTCTGCTGGACCATTGGATTGAGCATAATAAGGCGTGGAGTGGACAATCTTAATGCCATGCTCTTTGGCAAACTCCATTACTTGTGCTCGAGTGAAGATTGTCCCTTGATATGCTGTTATAGTGGCTGACAAATCAAAACGATGAATAATGTGTTCTTTGATAAAATAAATCACTTCCCCTTGGTTCACCGTGTTGACTAGCTTTGCCTCTACCCATTTTGTAAAATAATTTATTCGGGTCTAATTGCACGCATTTTATCCCCGTTTTCCTTGGGCGTTTGTAGCATTTGAACTCCTTAAAATGTGGTTTTACGCTAGGTTTTGTGCGTTTTAGTGTGTTTTAGGATCCAACCGGTGTAATCACCCCCGGAGTCGAAAGTTGGACGAAAAGAGGCAAAGACCGGACAAAGAGGTTGATTCAGGCAAAGTTCACGGTTTCCCATTGGAGTTCACGGTCTTCTATGACCGTGAACTGAAGCCCAAAACCGTGAACCGCGAAGCGTCCAGGGAGAATTCTTCAGTTACGACGCAAGGCGAGTTCACGGTCAACATGACCGTGAACTTTGGGTGCAAACCGTGAACTCACGAGAGTGAAGCGGTGCGTTTTGACTAGGGGTGTTCAAATGGTTACCATGGTTATAACCAAACCAAATAAGGTTAAATTTCATTAACCATGGAATACAATATCATAACCAAACCGTCCAAACTAATACAACAACCAAATTAACCAAACTAAAGTTTAATCGGTTTGGTTAATTGGTTAACCAGATTAACCAATATAAAATCACATTATCATTGACGATGAAAATTTTCCGGTTAATACAACAATTCGTCATTTATAGAATGAATAAAACATAACAATCAACACGTAGTTATAGTTGACCCTTAACAAAAATACATGCAACTAAGACAATTATCTTACGATTAGTATAGAAGTATTCACCTAACAAAAAATTATGACAATGGTATGGGTTAATGAATTGTTGTGTTTGTGTAAATTGACTTAGTCTCTTAGCAATTATCATAGGCTGGAAATGACCTTACTTTCAAGTTTTCATCCATCATAATGTATGAAATTTATCTAAATTAGGCGTTCATATGTTATGGTCTACACTTTACATATACAAATATACGCTATATGAGCAATATTGAGCTTTATATTTTATGAGTCTAAAAGGAATGAACGTTAACACTTGAGTGGTTATGCAAAGTATTAAGTATGATATATAATATATGTTAGATATATGACTAATTACTTAACTGGTTAATTTGGTTTGACTGGTTAAGAGTGTCTGAAACCAAACCAAACCACCTAAACCAAACAAGCTAAAAACTTTAATCAAACCAAACCAATTATCCAAATTAACCAAACCAAATTATCCAAATAGTACCGATTAAAACGGTTACCACGGTAACCAAACCGTTTGAACACCCCTACTTTTGACACAGCGCTCAAGTTCATGAACGCGTTGAAGAGTTCACGGCAGCGAACTAAGACCGTGAACTGAGCCCAATCCCAGTATAAAGTGTGAGCTGAAAGGAAGAGAGAGGAGAGCCCAAGAGTGAGAAAGTGTCTTCTTCTTCATATTTTAGAGAGAGAAATGACGAACCAAGGGAGAAGGAAGGCTAGGGTTTGCTCCAAGTTGTGAATTGGGAAGAATCTCCCCAAGAGAAGATCAACACAAGCTTAGGGAGATTGGAGACATCACCATGATGGTTTCTACCTCTTTCTCTTGTGTTCTTCCCCTTTCTAGCATGGAGTAGTACTCTTTTTCACTTGGGTGTTGTGAAACTCTAACTATTTGCCATGTAGTTGTAGTGTGACTTGAATGATTGTTTATGGGTGTTGTTTAATTTAATGATTGAGGTATTTTTCATGATGATTGTGCATGTGTGTGCTTAGCAATTGAATTGGCCAATTTAATCTAACCTAGGTTATAGGGGGAAACCCCCCTTTCCAAAAGAGGCTCAATTGAGTTGGGATTCCTTGGGCTTGACAAGCCACCTACCTAGGTTAATGTAGGGAAAACCTCTATCTTGAATTAAGCAACTAGGTTAGTCATGATTAAGCCGTCCAACCATCGGTTTGAGGGAGAAGGTAAGTCAACCCTTAATTGCCTTAACCAAGAGGGCTACTCTTGTAGCCTATAATGTATCCCTTGGTTTGGCAATTAAGAGTGTGGTCTTCGACCATAGTTGCACCTCCTAGCGGTTCATGATTGCTAGCAGTTGTGGGAGAACAAATGCTATGGTTTGTAAGTGGGATGAAGCAACTAAGAGTGGCTCCCATTCAGTGGGTGAGATGATTATTTTGGACTAGGCAGGGCTAGTCATTTTAGCGAAAGGGACTCAGTTCCCAGGCCCGGATAATCCTATGGTGGTCGAGCTGCTCGTTATTCGGGAGGCTATCCTCTGGTGTTTAAGCCTGAGATTTTCAGAGATAAGATTTTAGGGTGATGCCAAAGTGGTTGTTGACAAGATTCACCAATCTGATATTCGGGATAGTCGGATGGGCGCAATCCTGGAAGAGGTCGTGCATTACTTCGAGATTCATAATGGCCTTAGTGTGCGATTTTTAGGTCGATGTAACATTATGGCTGCTTATTTGGTGGCTAGAAAAGGTCATTTCATTGTACCCGAAAGCTAGTCACTCTTTTGATTTCACTGTCTTGCTTCACGCTAGGATGTAACTCCCTATTTGTTTAAAACTTTCAATCAATATATCTTATTATCTTTTGTAAAAAAAAAAAAAAAATGGTGAATGTGGCAGTCCAGTCTCCACCTAAACCCCTCTCTCAACCTTAACCCCAAAAGCCCTCGCGACGCGTCCACAGTTCAACTCCCGCAACTACCGCCTGCCGGAGGGCGACTTCGGTTGCCGTAGTACGTACTACTTCTGCCGCCGATATTTGAATAAGTGACCGCACTAGGGGGACACTGGCGATTGAGAGATTAATTTCGTTGACGCATCAAATCAATGCGGAAGAACATGCTCACCATTCTTGCACAACCCCTCTTCTTGTATAGGATTCCCGTCTTGCCAATAAAAAAGGTAGCAAGTTTTAACAGAACTTTCACTCTTCATCTTTGCGCTGTGAATTTCTCGTCTCAAGGATTACTTTCTGTTGCAACTCGAGAAAATTGGAAGCGATGTAGTTGAATTAGGTTCTCAAGGTCTAAAGTCGCCCTCTTGAGATAATAGTTTACAGTTTGTCTATGTAATGTCTGCTACACAAAGCTCACTTGCCGATGGTTTATGATGAGGCTGGTGGTTTTGGTGGGCGTATGATTCTGGCTTCTGGGTTCTAAGTTGGAAATGCAGTCTGAAGAGACTGGTTTTCGTACCCTTGAGGTTTGCTTGGTTTGACATTCTTTAACATGTCAAGGAAACATTAGTATAATGGTTGATGTAATGGAAAAACGAATGAGCTATGGAAATGAATCATTTTATGTATCAACGCTTCTATAGTGGATGTGCAAACATCCGGTTGGTTATACATGGTGTTCAAGTTTCCATTTCTTAGGAAATGCTTTCAGTTCTAAATGAGTTCTATTGAAAACAAGCTAAAATTTTCAGGTTTTCCATTGCTGTGATTGTTAGTGTAAGCTTTTCGCTTTTTCTGCTTGAAAATGATTATTAATCTGTGGTTAAACGTTTACAGAACAGTGTCACATCCATCCCCGTTGGCACTCCCTGGATTATGCCTCTCTTTGCTTGCATAACAGAGGTTTTAAGTAACTATAAGCAAGTTTCTACCCAGATATCTCCAGAGGATGAGGAGTTCAGAGATGAGAACTGGTATCAAATTCTCAATGCTATAGAAAATGCTCCAATGTCTGCCAGAGAAATATGCAGCTCCCAAATTAGCAATCTATGCGAGTCTGGAAATCTTTCTGCCGCTGCTAGATTGCTTCAATTCTTAAGGGAGAGAAACATTTTTACCGCCCCAAACTTGTACAATACCCTCATGGAAGTAGCAGGTCGAAGAAATGATGTTGAAATTTTGTGCCAGGTCTTCAAAGATCTAATTCTGTATTGTAAATCCCTTCCCTCAACTTCTTATCTTACTCTAGCACGGGCTTTCTCTAGGATAAACGAGCCTCTCTGTTTACTTCAACTTACCACAGAAATTTCGGAGCTAAAATATCCAAGCAATACTGTAGTTCTGAACAGACTCATCTCTGCCTTTGCTGAGTGTGGCCAGTCGGATAAAGCCCTTATGATATTTTATAAGATAAAGAGTCTGAAGTGTGAGCCTGATCTGGTCACCTACAATACTATCATGGATATGCTAGGTCGTGCTGGTCAGACTGATGAAATGCTCAACAAATTTGCCTCTTTAAAGGATGCAGGGATTATCCCGGATTTCGTGTCTTTCAATACGATATTGAATCACTTAAGGAGGAAGGGGAGGCTGGATTTGTGTTTGGTATACTTAAAGGACATGTCAGCTATTGGAATTCAACCAGACTTACTCACTTATACTGCTTTGATTAGTAGTTTTGGACAATCAGGAAACATTGAGGAAGCGTTTAGACTCTTCAATGAGATGAAGACGAGACAGATCCGCCCTTCTGTTTATGTTTATAGGTCACTAGTTAACTGCTTGAAGAAAATGGGGAAGCTAGAGTTGGCAATGACCATACTAGGGGAGATGAATGCATCTACAGGGAATCTTGCCGGTCCAAAGGAATTTAAGTGGAAAGGAAGATAGATAGGAACTAAATTTTCTATTTGGTTGTTCTGGGTTATGGTTTGATCTGAGTTCCTTAGCTTCATCAATTTTGCTGCCTAAGGATAGAGGCTCAGCTTTTTTGAATGCTTGGCTAGATACTGCCAGTGGTAGGAGCTAGGAAAAACCTCACGTAACTCCCAGTTCATGCTATGACCCTTGGGGACACTGCATTTTGTGGTTGCTTGTTTCTCAGCTGAAGCAACACCTCTTGAACCATCCATACTTCCCAGGCTTGCCCATGGTAGTCGTGAAACTAGATGAAGCAATGCAAAGAGCAAACACTTGAGAGATTGATAACCCGGTTCTTCCATATGTGAAGTACTTGGCAGTTGAAAACATTGTTCACATTGGCCTTCCTGATGTCCCCGTCAAGATTTCTGCAGTCACAGGCACGTCATTAGTGGGTATTAATGTTTGCGTGCTTTATTTGATTGGAAATGTATGAACACGAGATTAATGGACTTGATGGTGGTGGTGTGTGGGGACAAAATCCTGGTATTCATTTTAAAAGAATTAATTCCTACCGTGATATATTTATATGTTTCTATGGCGTCGGGGAGTTCTCATATATGTTTCCTGACGTGAAGACCTGCAATGCTGATGATAAAACTTAGCGGGAGCATTGAGGTCTTTATTGTTTTATTTTGAATTTGTGACGATGCAGAGAGAATCTGCAGTTACTGCAGCAGTTCTCGAAGTTGAGTTCAGTTTGGTGTTTTAATGATCTGCCTTCCTCATTCATGTGAAAGGATGATATCCAATACTTGTATCACAGTCAAAATAGTTGCTTTTGCTCTTGATGCCTGTACAGAGCATTTGCTTTTGTAGCAACTGCTTCATGCTGCTGTTCACAGCTTATTGTATGTGTCATTGACTTACATAAAGTGAGTACTTATTTCCCTGTTCTTGTTCCGCTGGTCACATTCTTTCTCTCCTGCACATTTGCATAAGAGAAGTACTGAGTGGAATTTAGAGCCTGAAACAGACATTGGGGTTTCAAACTATAGCTTTCTGTTTTATAACCCCGCCTGGTACCATTGAAACAATCAAAGGCATGTTTGAGGCATCCAGTTGGTCACTGTGTCATTTTGCCTGCCCGTACTGAGGGGACATGATTGCTATTGGAGAGTCCGGACTGTACCTAGCTGCTAGCAATAAAGACTTAAAGCGTGAAATCGGATGGTTGATTGGATTCAGGAAATAAACTTGAAGGTTGAGAAGTCTTCAATATTTTCAAGTGGAAAGAACCCCTGTCAGGTAACTTCTCGAGTTCCTGGTTTATCTCATAACCTATTCAACATTTTGAATTTTCATACGGTACCTGTTTTCTTGTCCTTGGTGATGTGCTCCCTTGTTCACGTTTCCGTCAACACATTTGTTTGCCAGTTGACATTGCTCTTTAGTCTAATGCTTACTCATTATCATTGGTTTGTGGCAAATGTTGGTGGCTACATTTATGTCGAACCTGAAACTCAGCTCATGCAAGAAATAGCCAAGGTTACTGAAGCCTGAACATGGTATAAGGTTTATGGAGAATTGTTTACAAACTTATGTGCTGTTTGGCATGTTGGGCATAGTAGAGATGGTAATTGTTTGGTTGAGATGATGCAAACTCTTCTAACTTGAACCAAGTCGAGCTGCATTCTCAAGTTAACGGGACAAATTGTGCCATTCCTATGGTAATTTTATTAGTTCAACTCATTGGTGAATAGATTGAAATTTGAAAGCTATTGTGATGCAGCAAATGGGGTGCTGCTGCTGTGGAACAGATGGAGAATGCCAGGCATAGAGGTCCAAGGTTTCAGCTCTGCTGGCATGGTGGGTCGAGGGCTGAGGGTGGTGGTGAGGTGTTCTTTGCAGTTCCTCTTTCAACCTTTCCATTTGTCTATCCAAGCCAGCTGTTTTGGATTACTTTTATCTTCTTATTGTATCATTGCTGCGCAGTGACATTTTTGCACCCAATGTTACTGAAACTGAAGATGAGCAAAAACTTGTGACATTTCTGGATTACTTCTATCTTCTTTTTTTGGGATGTATTGCTTTTCTGGGGTGTCTGCTGCTGATAAGTGATAAAATAACGGTGACTAACTCCCTGCCACGAGTGATGGCATGAAGCTGGAAATCCAGTGCACTCCAGCTCAAGCAAATTTGGCTTTGGGCCAGATGATGAGACAAGTGATTTTCATTTACTAAGCATGCCACTTGTAACACTCTGATACATTATAATATCGCTGAGTTCTCATTTTTTAAATTCATTAAAGCATAGGAGAACTGAAGACCAATGGTACGTCAAGTGAGTCTAATTCCACATGGTGATCTGCAGAATTTGCTTGGCGGCAAATATTTGTAAATCTGGCCAATAGATTAGCAGACAATGGGTTGAAGTCGAAGAGCTGCAGTATCAAAACTAATATAGTGATACGATACAACCATCCCCAATTCCCTACTAGACTTAGGTAACCAATTCGCAAAGCGTGAGAGCGCTCATTTTAAGAGGAGTGTGACGAAATCGTGATATTTTATTATATATATTAATTCATTATTTCATTTTTATAAATATTTTTATGTAAAGAGAGCCAAAATGACAAACATAACAATATTTCATGAACATGTTAATTAATATATTAAATGCCCTTCTATAGGTCTGTGCATAATATCTTAATATCTTTCCTTTTCTATAAAATATATCCATCTTTGAATAAAAAACAAAAGAATGCTAAACGTAATAGTATTGCTTCTTCTTACCATCTTTAATTCTTCCCCTTAATTAACCAAATTCTTATGCACCAGTTGTAAAAGAAAAAAAAAACCCAGGTCGTGCTCTCAACTTCGTGCGAAGTGGATCTGGTAACCGCCATTGTGCGCATGCGCCGTTCCGGGCGTTCCGCCGTCGTGCGGTGCCGGAGCCCGATCTCTGGGGCTATGGAGTGTATAAATTCCCCTCTACTCGAGTCTGGGACCATCGTCTGTTCCTTCGCTCTCGTAGCTGGTGGTTTGCTTGCTGTTTCCGCAGGTCCTGTCTCGGCAATCATGGCGGTTGTAGTCCAATTCAACGATGACGACATGGCGGCTGGGGTGGCGCGCATCGATTTGACACTACTTGGATTGGTGATTGGAGCTCCGCCGCCCTTGCACACGTTAAAGACGGTCCTCGCTAGGGTTTGGCGTTTTGAAGGGGATCTGACGATTTCTCAATTGGAGGGCGGTCTGCTGCAGTTCGTCTTTTCTCTTCAGTCGGACTTGCAGGCGGCGGTTTCGGCTGGCCCATGGATCTTTGACAAGTATATGCTGACCTTGCAGCCCTGGGCTGCGCCATCGGAGGAAGTGATTGTAAACCTTCGACTGGCTCCCCTTGCTGTTCAGATCTGGGGGGTTCCCTTCGACTGTTTCACCAACAAAATGGCGCCCCGTTTGGGTTCCGCATTGGGGGAAACCGCCACCCCTACTCTTCACCGGTCTGATGCCTCGGGTGGGTTATACGTCAGGGCAGAGCCTGTGCTAAATCTGTTGGAACCGTTGCCGGATTCGATCTCCGCTGGACATATTGACCCACAGAAAGGTACCTTCTCTGCTAAAATCAAGTTCGAATTAGTTCCTCACTTCTGCTTCCTTTGTGGTGTGATTGGGCATGTTAAGGAAGGCTGTCCGCGTAAGGAAGAACTTGGAGCCTTGCCGGAGAAGTATGGCAAATTCACCATGGCCACTGAGTCGGGTCCCCAAGTTACTGAAGCGATGCTTGCTAGGCGGCGCCGCCGGTACACCTGGATCCGGGCGAATTTCCGCAACCAGGGCAAGCCCCGTCGGGGTGGTAATTTCCGTGTCCCAGCACCGCCTTTGTCTCTTGCCCACAGGTCTGATGATACTTCTTTCGGGCCAGGGGGCACTTGGGAAGATTCCCGGCGTCCGGGGGCGGGGATCATGGGGTCTCGGTTTCAGGCCCTCTCGCTCCTACCTCCCTCGGCTGATACTCCTGCTCCTCTGGCCAGGGATGTTCACATCACAGATGGGACCAACAATCCCCCTCGAGGCTTCTTCCCCTGTTTCTCCACAACCGGCAGCAAAGCGTCTCCGTTTTGGGACGATTTCAGACTCTTCCTCTGCTTCAGCATCTGACAAGGTGGCGGGCGTCAGCCTCAACTGGCCCCCAGCGGATCCATGAGTTTTATGGTGTGGAACTGTCGAGGGATGGGCTCCCCTTTGACCGTTCCCTCACTTGGTGGAGCAATTGCACGGTTTCGTCCTTCATTAGTCTTTCTTAGCGAAACAAAGAGGGACGATGAGTTTGTGTTGTCAAAGTTTTTGAGTCTTGGGTTTCGATCTGTTCGTTGCTTTAGTGCGTCGAATGGTAGTGGGGGTTTAGCTGTAGCTTGGTTGGATCAAGTAGCTTGTACAGTTCACCACTTGTCCTCCTTTCTTTGCTTTGTAGAGGTTAGTCTACCTCTAGTAGGGCGTCTGGTCATCTTTTTTGTACATATGTCCTATGATGTTTCCTGTCGCCAACAGCAGTTTAATGAGATTCTTAATTTCGTCTCGTCGGTGTCCCTTCCCGTTTTTGTGGTTGGCGATTTTAACTGTTTGTTGTCCTCTTCAGAAAAGTTAGGAGGGCTTCCCCCTTCGTTTGGTGCTTTGGATCAACTTAATGCTTTCATCACCCATGCTAACCTTATGGATTTAGGTTTCCAGGGGTCACCATTCACTTGGACCAACCGGAGATCGGGTAGTGTACATATTATGGAGAGGCTAGACCGATGCCTCAGTGACGCGGCGGCGCTTGCAGAGTGGCCTGATCTTAAGGTCATTCATCTTACTGATTTGGGTTCTGACCATAGAATGTTACTTGTGCAGCTCATCAAACAGGGTCCTCTTCCCCATACGCGGTTTCAATTTGACTGCCGCTGGATCACCAACCCTGAAGCATTGGAAGTGATCAAAGCTGCATGGGTGAAGCATGTTCGGGGCACCACTCAATTTAAAGTCTACACCTTACTTAAACTGGTAAGGCATGACTTGGTTGCGTGGGCGCGCTTAGGGACCTCCAATTCAGCCAGGAAAATAAGAGAGCTTAAGGATGCGTTTGAGGAGGCCAGAGGGGAGGTTACCGTGGATTGGACCGTGATTCAGATTCTCGAGAGAGAGCTGGCAACGGCGTATGTTCATGAGGAACTCTTATGGCGACAGAAGTCTCGGGTTGGGTGGCTGAGAGAGGGGGACTCAAACACGAATTTGTTTCATCGTGCAGTGCTGCAACGAAGACGATTCAACCGGCTGTCTGGGCTAAAAGATGAAACGGGGGTGATCCATCATGATGAGGAGGGTATGGGGAGTATTGCAGTACCCTATTTCCAGGTATTATTCACTTCTTCGAACGTGGATTCGGCTCAGTTTGTCGCGGACTTAGGATTGCAGCGGAAGGTTACGGGCCAGATGAATGCTATGCTGATTGCTCCAGTTACTGATTTGGAGATCAAGGAAGCCGTGTTTCGCATCGGGGCGTCTCAAGCACCCGGATCTGATGGCTTCACCGCCGGGTTCTTCCACGCTCATTGGGATGATGTTGGACCGGACATCAGTGCTGCGGTGCATAACTTCTTCCGGACTGGTAGGCTGCTACACAATTTCAATCATACCCTGATTTCTCTGCTACCAAAGGTACCTAATGCTGATTCGATGCGTCAACTTAGACCGATTGGGTTATGTCAGGTTTTTTATAAAATTTTGGCTAAAATCATGGCGGCTAGGCTAGGGATTATTCTTCCTCACATTGTTAGTTCTTCTCAAAATGGGTTTGTTAGAGGTAGGTTGATCTCTGACAATATTTTAATCGGGCAAGAAGTTATGCAATTTTTGAAAACTAAAGTGCAGGGTCGTGAGAAATGGATGGCTGTTAAACTGGACATGGAGAAGGCATACGACCGCGTCGAGTGGCCTTTCCTTTTACAAATCATGGGCAGCTTAGGATTTTGCTCGGAGTGGCTGCATTGGGTGAAGACTTGCATCTCCACTGTAGCTTCTCAGTCCTGATCAATGGGCGATCTCATGGATACTTCAAACCTCAACGGGGACTCCGCCAAGGTGATCCGTTATCCCCCCTTCTCTATGCTTTATACACTGAAGCCTTATATGCTAAATTAGGGACTGAGATCAATGCTGCTCGGCTTCATGGCCTTCGTGTTCATCGGCATGCTCCTCTAACATCTCATCTTTTGTTTGCGGATGATACCTATCTCTTTTTGCGTGCGTCTATTCCGGAGTGTACCGCACTGTTGTCCCTTTTGAGTTCCCTAGAGGAAGTTAGTGGGCAGAAAGTTAATTTACTTAAATCCTCTTTGTGTATGAGTGCTAATGTAAGTCATCAGGAGAGGTCTGCTCTTTGTGCTTGCTTAGGAATTGCGGAATCCACCATACAGGAAAAATATTTAGGGCTGCCTGTCCACATTCAGCGTTCTAAAACCCAGACCTTTCGGTTCGTTGAGGAGGGACTTGCTGCTAGGGTTCGATCTTGGAAATCCAAAGCCATGTCTTTAGCCGCGAAAGAAGTAGTGATTAAGTCTATAGGTTCTGCTTCTTCGATTTATACTATGTCTGTGTTTCGTCTTCCCTCTTTCACTTGTCGCAGGTTGAATGGGCAGCTATCCCGGTTCTGGTGGGCGGATCAGGATAAAGAAGATGGTATACACTGGCTCTCCTGGCAAGAAGTTTGCTACAGCAAATTTGAAGGGGGTCTCGGGTTCCGAGACTTTGAGAGGTTTAACATAGCGCTCTTGGCGAAGCAAGCTTGGAGAGTGCTGCAGAATCCGGCTTCCACTTTAGCTCACTTGTATCGAGCTCGTTATCACCCAAATTCTTCCTTCATAGAGGCAAAGGTGGGATCTAGACCTTCTTGGGCGTGGCAAGGACTATTAGCAGGTCGGGATCTCCTATTACGAGGGCTTCGGTGGCGAGTTGGTGACGGTGCTCGCATCCGCATATTAATAGATAAGTGGCTCCCTTCTGA